GCTGCGGTGACCCACATGCTTTCAGGGAAGGACCAACAGACACAAACTACACTGCACACTAAGGATTGTGCAATGCAGAGGAAAAATTGTGCAACGACAAAAAAGTGCTTCCTGACCCTTGCAGCAAGCAGCTTACTCCTTGAAGCATGAGATTTGATTACCTTCATCTCAGCGGGCACAACCATGAATATCACTGTATGCCTTCTAATGCCCAGCACGTTCTATTCGATAAAACAACAATAATGTAAGAATTCCCAGACCATTGCAACCTGGGCATTAATTGCAATGAGAAATTTATAGCAAGAACATGTACAAACAGCATCAAGGGCATTATAACACACTGGCATTTAGATCTTCTCTTTCAAGGGAAATAATCCAATAAATTAATCAAGTCTAACAAAACCCCATGACAATTAAATGCCCCACAACAGAAAAGTAAGACAACCCAGCGAAGAAGTTGTTTGTCCGACAGAAGCTTTAGGACAGGACATGTATCTGACATGTGGCATATACCCCTGTGGTCTGTCATAAAGCTGGAGTGCAGATTTTTGCAAAAGCCCCTAAAGACCACCTATCAAAACAATCAGATAGGAACATTGGCAGCTGAACATCTGTGTCCTGCTCAAAAATACACCAAAAAATACTTGAAGTCTGACATGCCTTAACTATAGAATGACTTCAGGCATGCAATGATATTGCCTTATGAACATCTTTAGGCTGCAGCTCTGGTGGTGGCGCTGTCTTTCCTCGTAGCATTAATTTCTTGTTCCTCTGTCAGATACAAGCCTCCTCACCACCTTCAACATAAAACAATTTCAGTCGAACCTCTATGGAAATAAGGCAACAAGCCTGGGAAGCTGTTCCAGTTCTGTATAAATCAGTAACACAGTTAAGTATGACCTTCCACCAGGAATGAGAGTTTGAAGGGGTTTTGAGGGTAGGAACAGCATCACATGCTGAACAGAGGCACAGAGAACTGGATATTGTAGGCACAGATGAGAGTGGATTAGGGCTATTCATGCAAAACGCTGAGCTCAGATTCTCACTTATGTCAAAATACTAAGTTTCGATGAACTCCAGCTCTCCCGTTAAATTTACTAACTCCAGTTCTAGAAGGTCTTTTGGAGCTTGATTTTAATTTTTCTATTTTTCTGCCATGTTACTGCCTCCCAGAAAAGCCAGGAGTCTGTTACGTGGGTATTCCTTCTCACCTGAGCCCACATGTCATGTACTGAAACGTGAAGGAAGAAGAGGAAAGATGGAGGCTACCCTAGCTTTCACAGCTGCTAAGGAAGAAATATGAACAGCCTGGTCTTTTCTGCTCTTCGTAAGCTTGTCCGTGTACCAGGGATGTGGAGTGTCAACGTGCCCTACCCTACAGGGGCAGGAGGACTGACCACTCTGACATCAGCTCCAAGACACTGAGGACGAGAAGCAAATCATCTTGTTATCCAAGATACACAAAGGAAGCTACCACTGGAGAAATCAGAATTACCACAGAGTTTGCAGAGTGCCTTGGCAAGTACTCAGTAAAGCCATTCTCTTCAATGCCTTTTTAACAGCACCAGTAGCACAAGATTAAAAGATTTATAGTCAAATATCCCACTCTGTCCTGACTCAAGAGATTTCATTCAAGGGGCTTATGGATGTGTTTCATTCTAACTTCCATGTTACTTACACACTACACCAACCTTTCTCTTAAGCTTTAGCTCCTCTACTCTGCAAGTCCACCTCTGTAAAGCAGTTACCATATGCTCAACTCACAGCTTGCACTCGAGCTTTCCTTACTTACACAAGATTTAAACAGATGCTTAAATGCTTTGCAGAAGAAGAGATGAATGCCAAGGCACAAGCATTTTGGAATCAAAATCAAAGAATTAAGATGTCCAGTATCTGGATTTGGGGAAATACAAAAGCAGGAGAAGTGGCATGCCTTTAACACTTTCTTGTGAGTCCTTGCTGGGATGAATGCGTGCTTGAAAGGACCAAAAAAGAAATGGTAAAATGTCTTCTCGTTGCCTGAAGGTATTTAATACAGTGGAGCAAGGGGAATATAATCAGCATTAAAGTGCTCTTCATAAATAATGGACACTCTAGCAGCTTTTATCTACTCTGCACTTTAAGAAAGTTTCTACTGCTGAATGTTTCATGAGTAAAATGTAATTTATTGTGGCTTTTAAATTACACAATTCAGAAACTGTTAGGAAAAAAGTTCTACGTTCCAACACAATAATGACTAGTTTCAAATTTCTCAAGAAACACTGGCAGGCTAAATACATATTTTGAAACCTAACACATTCGAACTACCAGGGGCACCTTTGCCTTAAACTGTAACTACTGGCTTTTAAGATGGCCAATCTTATACAGCAATACAGTATTTACTTTCAAGCAAAGAATAAATCTGAATGTAAATTTTCAGGTCTAGTTTGCACTTCCCAACAAAATACACAGCTGATCACAGGTCACTGAAGATGCGCATCTGTGACAGCCATTTTCAAGAAATCTGCTTTCTGTACATTATGTTAAAGGTGTATTTTACTACAGCCTTTTTAAATGGCAATTAGAGTTCCACATAAACAAAATCATTAAGGAAACATACTGGTGAACAGGTGAATCGTCAAGATGAGTTAGAGGTAACCTTAGCTCTGTCCCCTGTGAATACAAGGCTACAACGCAATCTTCTTGCCGCATCCAGAGACAGATGCTCTGTGGGTGTAGATTGGCATGACTTTACAGAAGTCAGTCGTGCTACATCTGGTTTCTATCAACAGAAGCACCAGTGCACTTCTCCTCAGCATCAAATCTTCTCCGTAGAGCGTCACACGTCTGTGAAAGAACACCACAGAAGCCTGCTGCAAACCAGCACGCCTAGCACCCCAGTGACTTGCAGCTTTAGTAACACCAAAACAAGTGGCTTCAGAGTATTAACAGGTAATGTCCCTTAGCCAGAGTTATCTTTTGGGAATTTTTCAATCTTCTTTCTAACCTCACAATTCCAAACCACAGAGCTACTCTAACAACAACAAAATCCCCCAAACAAACAAAAACTATGACAATTCATTTTCTTTCAAAAACTAAGATAGCAAAAATAGCTTTCCTGTCATATTTCCCTCATATGATAACTGAGCCTCCCCCCCCGAATCCTCGTCTTTTATTCACAGTCCCCACTTTAAAAGACCAGATAATGAAAAAGTTAAAACATGAAAGGAGCTATATGCAGAAGTCAGAAGCAATCAGAACATACTAATAGCCCCCTGCATGTGGACAACAAACACATCTGTGCCAAAAAAAAAGGTTTATTTATTGAATGACTTCTTATGACACAGCAAGGAAGAAGTTTGAGACACCTGGCTGACCTCTAGATCAATCATCTTTCTTAGCAGCAAAGTGCAGCGCAAGTCCCATGGAGTGATGGGACTTGCACAAAACCACCACGTACAAAGCCATACTTTGAATTTCAGATGATTTTCTATGCATTTCTAAAAACAAAATTGATCTTTAGCACTCCAAACAGTGACATTCAAACAGGTTTACAGCTTTGTTGAGATGATATGCCCCTCCTACATTTACCAGCAGAAAAATTCAGACAGACCCATCGTGCACGATTTGGCATTAGACACCTCAGCTGCAGCAGTAAGGTTATTTTAAGGGAGACATATCTACTACAGTCTGAACCTTACACAACACATTACCACTGCCATACATCTAAAATAGTTGCTTAACTGTTTATAGACTTACTGAATGTGTTTCTTCATAACTCTGGTTTACTTAGGATGGTATTCAAAAGTAAACATCACATCATTCATCCAGGTCTGTCAAATACTGTCAATTTGGAAGCTGCAAGCAATGCACAGGTTTTCTTCTGGCCCTTTGCACAGAGACAGATTTTTTTCCTTTGGTCAACAAATTCTCTCAAGACGTTACATTTAAAAGCTTTAGATGTATTAACAGCCAAATCATACTTTTAAACCAGAGCTTTTGATATCTGTTGCAGAGCTGGTAGGAACAAGTACCAATGATACCTATAGGCTTTCTTGCTGCGTTGGTCTTGCATTGCATTTCCTGGACTTGCACGTAAAGGTAAAAGAAAAATCTTTAATAGGGAAAAAATTCAAAAGGAAGAAAATGTCTGAAGGAAACGAAGCATCTCAGTTGTGCCCCCTGCTTGTGCAACAAGAAAATGAAGCTCGTGGTAGTGCTTGCCAAAATAGACTGCAGCTGGATCCCAAACATTATTGATGGGTAACTTAAGTTCATATATATTGATACAGCTAAACACCAACACACTAGACTAATGAAGATACAGACAGGCTCTTCTGCTTGATAGTATCTAACAGTTTGTCAAGGGACTCTAATTGAAGCCAAAGACAGCTTGTTTACTCTGTATTAAAATACAATATTTCAGATCACACTTATAGTAAATGATACATATATCATCTGGTATTTAGAGAGACCTTTAGATATCTAAGGGAAAATGGGATGTGTCAGTTTAGATGAGCAATCCCACAAAGAATGACTATTATATAAAATCAACCTATGGATAAGTTGGACGGGGCTCTGTGCAGCCTGGTCGAGTTAAAGATGTCCCTGCTCACTGCAGGGGGGCTGGGCTGGATGACCTCTAAAGGTCCCTTCCAACCCAAAGCATTCTATCATTCTATGGCAAGCCTGTGGAATTGTAAGACCATGACGTCTCCCACACCAAATCATCTGATGGGAAACGAACTGACCCCTCTAGAAATCATGCAACTGTCCTGCTTCATCTAGAAGAGATTCAAAGACCAGGTGCTCATTTCCCCTACTCCACCCTCTTCCCTGTTATGCCCACAAACTAGTAAGAGACACAGAAAAACAGACATAGTCATGTTAAGTGCCAGTGTTCAATACCTAACCATACTGAGAAATTATTCTCAGAAGAAAATTCTTGCACTGAACTAAACTTTAGGTATCACTGAACTCACTCCATGGCTCCTAGAGGACAAATAAACAGGTTGACTTACGTAGCTCTCCTACTTTCAGTATTTCGCACAGCATCTTTGTCAGCTCAATGCTACTTCGGCCAAATGGGCACTCATGCTTGTCTTCTCGACTGCTGTTCTCCAGGACAATCTGGAGGAGGAATCAAAATGGAAAATAATCAGTTTGAAGAACCCATGAGTTGAAGTACTGTCCTCCACATCCACCATCTACAACATACACTGAGCTGAATTTAGGAAACGGTATGTGGAGGCTCTGTTTTCATAAACCTTAGCCCTTCCCCCAGCTAAATGACCTACGTGTGTCTGAGGCAGTCAGCAGCACAGAAGCAGTGCTGCTCCATGCCCAGCAGGGAAGCTTTGCCATCCCTATGCAGCATCGCTGCTCTGCTCCACCCTTGGCTTAGAGAAATTGCAGTAGAAGTCAAAGAGAAAGAAATAGTTTCATTTTAAATTTGCCAGTTAAAGAAAATTGGTTATAATGATTTATAGACATGAAGACACCTAGAAAGAACTATAAAAAAAAAACAAGTGAGACAGAAGTCGCATAGCTGGATTCAGGCTCCAAAACAGGTCCGGGTGTCAAAAATGACACAGAAGTCCACAAAAGAAGAAAATGTGTGTATTTTCTCTACCACGGAAAAACTTGTGCTGGCATGCAAAACATTTCAGAGAACTATCACTCTTGCACCAAGTCTATGAACACTGCAAAAACGACTCAAGGAGAGCCTTTGTGTTCTCTGTTGGGTGACACTGCAAAATAGATGGGAGACAAATATTCCTTGCATATATTTAGATCCATTGAGTTCTGCCATATCAGATACAGTTGGGACAAAGTTTTCCCCAGCACTACAACTAAACAAGGTATTTCACCGTAGATGTAAAAATGAGTTATAAAAATACTATAGATTTCATTGAAGCTGTGAGCCTGAAAAGAGAGCAAAACAGGGGCTGGAAAGAAAAATAAATGGTCAAAACAGACTCTCAGTAAGAGTTGTCTTTGCAGTAACAAACTTTGCCACCAGCTTTAAAAAAAGAAACAAAACACATCCTGAACAGCTGCTGCATAGCCTGGGGATGAGGGACAAAGGAAGAAAATGAATTTCAAAGGTAAGAGCTTTTGCCAAGCACCACAGAACCCCAGAGGCTCTCTAAATTTTCTTCACTAACAGGTGTTTAGACATTGATCTCTGCTTTGCATTCCTCCCGTTTCCTTGGCTCCCGTCTTCATCATGCTTTTTTGCTTGTCTGGCTTTTGGTTTTGGTTGTGTTTTTGATTTGGATTTTTCTTTGTTTAAATGTGTCCATTTTGGCAGCAAAGAAAGCTTTTACAAAAGGTTCCATGGCTGGAACTTCACCCAAAACAATGTGGTGGAGGACAGGACCGATGCAACACTGGATGCCAGTAAGATATTTCCCTCCTTCCCTCCCCAGATCTTGGTTGTGACTGTTTCATGCCCTCTCACGTACAGGAGCCTTCTCTGTGAAGGAGTTAAAGGCAAAAGTGTGAAAAAAAAGTGAAAACCCAGAAGCAAGCAGGACAGTTACATGCGTCACATAGCATGCCAAAGCCTCTTCATCAGGCATCTATTTCAGTCCTACTGTGTGCAGGGCAGCCTCTAGCTGATACTCTGCTCCCAACCCATCACCCAGTGATGTAAAAGGATGGTTGCTCTCTGTGTTAGGAGAGTGGACAACCACTTTCTTTTGTCTTCCAGTGGTGGTGGTGGGTTTTTTTCAATCACCTAGACTACCCACTAGCTTAGAAAGTTATTAGGAACATGATAAATATCTGACCCCACGATTTTTTACTGGGCTTTTCCAACAGGAGAGCGTCAGAATCCTGTTCACCAGTCTGCCAAGAGGAGTTACTTTTCCTTCTAAAAGTTTTGGTTGAAATTACATCTAACTATTCCACAACATCTCTGGATAACAGTTGTATCAAATCAAAGAAACACCCCTAAAACTTTTGTTCTACATTGCTGCAGCCCCTGTTCAAGAAACATGCAAATATGACTGAGCATTCCAGATGACTCATCCTGCTTCCGTCTTTTCAGGGAGGACAGTGCTACATTTCCATACCCAGATGCAGGAGCAATGATAGAGCAGCACAAGTGCAATGTAGATCAGTGTCTCAACACCTCCGTGAGATCACCTCTTATTTTATTATTATTGTGCTTTCTCTCTCACATAATAAAACATAAAATCTGCATACCGGAGCAGGGGGTTGCTTTGACACAGATTTAGATACAGCAGAGAAACACTGGTAATAAAATCAATGGAGAGGGAAAATGCAAGGGTAAGGGGGAGGGGAAGGGAAGCACTCAGCTCAGCATT